TCATGTCAGCAGTGATCACCTTTCAGTAACTGTCCTTCCCTGCTAGTCATTTCATGTGCCTACATGTGCTGTCGCCGTGCGCTGCCTGAGCTGCAATTTGTCTTTTTCCCTCCTCAGATCCCTGCCTGGTTTCCTTACTTTCCTGTCCACAATTGATCAAATATCTGTGGTTTGCTGCTTTGCTGATTTTACTTAGCTTCCTTTTTCATTTTATTGATTGGTACTAAAAATGCACAAGGCTTTAAAGTTCTGACATGAATGATGGATGAGGTCCGACATCAAGAATCTGCAGCAAAGACACTTGTGATTTAAGAATGTGTAAACAGAGCTCGGTGATTTTCTGTTGAGTTGGTTTGGGGAATGCACGATGATTAGAATTAGTTTATTTCTGTTTTAAAAAGTTGCCTTGCAAAGAAGTAGAAGACAATTGTATGTGCTATTTGAATTTTCCGTACAAATCCAAGCATGTTTATAAGAAAGAAAAAAAGAAAACACCAGTACAAACAAACCAGATCAAATGAGACAACTGAAAGATAAATGTTATCCAGATGTTTGTTGTTATTATTGCCACTTTAAGTTCACATTCATTTTGACCAGTGATCATTTGAGAGGTACAAGTATGAAGTTCAGGGCGATGCACACTGTGTCTTTTTCCCCAGTAATGATGCGCTTACACTTGTTTATGTTTCTTTCTCATGGTGAAGGAAATAATGCCTGTGTATGGCAGGACAGTGGTTCATTGAGTATGCACAGAAGTGATGTGGATTCTTCCCAGACCTGTTAAGGACCAGGGCTGCTGGCCCCCTTTGTGTTTCCTAGATGAGAGAAGAAGACAGGAACCAGGATGGGAAAATGGACAGGCTGCATTTTAAACTGGAGCTTCCCCTGCAGTCTACAGAGCATGTTCTTGGTGTGCAGCTCATCCTGATGTTCTCCTACCAACTGCACGTGAGTTGGGCCCTTAAGGAGGCCGTCCTCTCCCTTTGTCTTTCAATAGAATAGAGCCCTCCTTCTGATTGCTAGGAAGACCCACACTGTCGCAGACTCTCTCCTGGAGTGTAGATTGGGATCTAACTTGGTCAATCGAATGTTTTTCACTGGGTCATACTCATTTATATGGGCCATCAGCAGCTCAGAGGGTTCTGGGCAGAGGCTTCCTGCATGGCTACACCAGATACGTGAGGGCTTGTCAGGCTTCAGCCAAGACTGGTGACTCTTAGAGCCCAGAGACCTTCATGTATGTCTGCATTTGGTATTGTCTCTCCTTGTGCTGCTTTCAGAGGATTTCGACGTTTGTGATGCAGAGCATGGCGTTTCTCCAGTCCTCCTTTGCCGTTCCTGGGTCCCAGTTATATGTGAATGGAGACCTGAGGCTGCAGCAGAGGCAGCCGCTAAGCTATGGTGGCCTAGATGTCCGATACAACGTGAGGATGCTTCTTGTTGTCCAGCTTCTTTGTTTCTTTATGTCACTGTTTATCAAGTTCTTTGAAGAGGGAAATGAAAGGTAGAAACAGCATTTCTCTGTATGTGGCTGAAGAGAGGGCGTCTGAGGAATTTTTGCCACGAATTCTTTCAAACTATTGAGAAGGTACACCTGTATTTACACCTAGAAAGACAGAGAAAATAATCTATCTTTGTTGCAGAACTAAATTGTTTCTTGCTTTTAAGTAAATACACGTATACTCTCTCTCTCTTCCATACACACATGATTATTCCAAGTGGTCATGTAAAATGATCATGTAAAATATTTCAAAAATAATAGTTTAACCTGAGCAACATAGCAAGACTCATCTTTACAAAATCTAAAAAACATTGTCCAGATGTGGTGACCTGCCCCTGTATTACTGGCTACCAGGAGACTGAGGCAGGAGGATCCCATTAACCCAGGAATTTGAGGTTGCAGTGAGCTATGACTGGGCTACTGTACTCTAGCCTGGATGATGGAGTGAAACCCTCAGCAAAATAATCATAATAATAACCATATTTTATTGAACAGGTAACACACCAGCCCTGAGTGAACTGGTTTACATATATCATCTCATTTCATCATCACAGCAATCTCTGATGTGCCTACAATTGTCATTTGCCAGCTCTCCAGCCACTGGTCCTATCACTGTCCCCTGGCTCTGTTCCAGCCACACTGGTCTTCTTGCTGTTTCTCCAACCCAGGGAACAGCTCCCACCTCAGGGCTTTTGCACTTGCTGTTGCCTCTGCCAGCGATCCATGTAGTTTATTGGACTCCTCCGTGAATGTCCCTGTTGCAGTGTCCCTGAGCACAGTCCTTCCCTGACCCTTCTTTCTGAAAAGTGTTCCCCTCCCTCCATCTTCCCTCACGCAGACTGACTTTTCCTACCGCCACCTGACGTACTAAAGATGTGTTTTTGGTTTATTTGTTGTCTACCTCAGCATTAACAGCGCTGCCATCTTGTATGCCATCCCCCCAGTGCCTAAAACAGTGCCTGGCACTTGGTAAGCTCTCAGAGAGATTTTTTGAAAATGAACTCTCGTGTTGCAGAGGAGGAAACTAAGGCTTACAGGGATTAATTTTCCCAAAGGCCCAAAGCTTAACAACTAACAGAGCCAGGAACTGTCTCTCTGAGTCCAGAACTCAGGCATCTAATGATATTCCTAAACTTTATTTTATCACAAAAGAGACCATATAAGTTGGGCTGGCATACCTTTAAAGTGAAAGAAGGATTATCAGTTATACAGCCATAAACCAGGACTGTTTCACATAAACTGGGATTTATGGTCACTCTAGTTAAATGTAAGTTATAAAGTCAGGGGGACATATAAACTTAATATGGCACTTTTTATTT